CACAAACTTCTTTTTATCTCCAGTCATGTGTCTTGAACACCCACTGTCAAGAAAGATACCACATAGACTTCTTTGATTTGAAAGTTTCCTACAAAATAATGGAACAATAAACTTAGGTCCCCATATAAATTTTGGTCATTGGGGGTTAGAAATAATCACTTTATTTAACAATAGAAATCCAAACATATTTTTCCTTTGGAACACCAAAATGCTTAATTTTACATTTATTTGATGTATGTCCATGTTTCATGCAATAAAAGCATGCATTTGATGACTTACTTTTTGAAAAGGTTTTACTTCCATTTTGTGGAGGTTTAGTTCCTTTCACATTACATACTCTAGGGATTCTTTTATTTTTAGGCTCTTTCAATGGAACATAACAATTTACTTGAGTTTGTATATTAACTTCATCCTTGTAACAATCACTTAATTCTTTCTTTTCTTTTTCAAGTAAGTATCTAAGTATGTCAATATCATATTCATATTCTTTACATGATGCACATGCTATTTGTTTATTTTCTTTTTCTTCTAAAGTCACTATTTTTTATTTTAAAGATTCTACTTCTTTTTCCGATTTATTCAAATTCTTTTTCAAATATCTATATTCACTACTACAAATAAGGCTTTCCACGTCGGTTCTGGAAGGCCTTCAACGGCGGTTCCAAAACCGACGTTGTATCAGGCGACGTTGAAAGTCCTGACTTTCAAATCGAAAATTTTTATTTATTTCCAACCCCTCTCCCCTCTCTCTATTTATCTAGAAATCCCACCTCTCTTTTATATTATATTTTTATTAGGTCACTCTCTCTTTTATATTATATTTTTATTATTTATCATCTTTTTTTAAAGTTTAGAGCATTACCAAATTAATTTTTTGTCATCGACAGGATTCGAACCCAGTACCTTAGTATTGGAGGTCGATACTCCAACCACTAAACTACTCGGATTTTTTTATAATAACTTACAAATAAATTATATTTATATACAAATAAATATATATCCAGTGTAAATATATAAATATATAAATACAAATATATTTATATATTTTGATATATTTATATAATTATATATTTATATGTTGGATGTGAGGGCACGCTCGAAGGTGAAAGTGTGTCGAGTGAGTTTTCAAAATTTGATGTCAAATTTGTGAGCGAGTCTCTTTATATGAGTTTGTAATTTAATGACAGAATATAATATTTATAATTTATTAATGATATAAAATAAATATGAGAAACGCATCATTCGCTCAAGCGAAAAATACCAATTTTCGCTCAAGCGAGGCTTGAACGAGTGAATTTCCGTGAGTTTTAACATATTTTCACTCAAGCGAGAGTCAATCTCACTTTCACCCTCGAACGCGTCTTCACATCCAACATATAAATATATACCTATATAACTATATAAATATATATAAATATATCAAAATATATAAATATATTTGTATTTATATATTCTATATTTATATATTTACACGAATATATATTTATATGTATATAAATATAATTTATTTGTAAATTATTATAAAAAAATTATAGTAGTTTAGTGGTTGAAGTATCAATTTTCAACTCTAAAATACTTGGGTTCAAAAAATCCTGTTAGTGACAATTCTCTAACTTAAGTAAATTTTTGGCTGAAAAAAAATAAAAACACTTTCCAGAAAATATATATATTTACACGGATATATATTTATTTATATATAAATATAATTAATTTGTAAGTTATTATCAGAAAATTATAGTAGTTGAGTGGTTGGAGTATCAACTTTTAACTCTAAAATACTGGGTTCGAATCCTGTCAGTGACAATTCTCGAACTTAAGTAAATTTTTGGCTGAAAAAAAATAAAAACACTTTCCGAGAAAATATATCTAAATAAATATATATTTACACGGATATATATTTATTTGTATATAAATATAATTAATTTGTAAGTTATTATCGAGAAAATTACGGTAGTTTAGTGGTTGGAGTATCAACTTTCAATTCTAAAATACTTGGGTTCGAATCCTGTCGGTGACAATTCTTGAAATTAAGAGAATTTTTGGGTGAAAACACATTCAACGTCGGTTCATCTAGAACCAACGTGGAAAGTGCTTTCAACGTCGTTTTTAACCAACCGACGTTGAAAGTATATTTAACATCGGCTCAGCTTTAACCGACGTTAAATGGCGACGTTGAAAGTATATTTTGTAGTAGTGATTCAGTTTTCAAATCTTTAAAAGCAGCAAATAGTTCTTGATATGCATTTTGTAAAACATCATAGTCATTTTCATCATCACTTGAAGAATAGTTGGAATCACTTACCTCACAGTCGGAAGAATTTCTGTGATTTGCCATTAAACAAAGATTTACTTCAACATCCGAATCACTTGACTCCGAACTCGACTCATTATTATCCCAAGCTATGTAGGCTTTCTTTTTATAATATTTTCTTCCTTTAAGATCATCACTCTTCTTGTTGGGACATTCAGATTTCACATGTCCTTTGAAAGGTTGCTTCCCTTTAGCTTTCATGAACTTTGTACATTTTTTTATCATAAGACTCAAATTTTCATCTTCTTCTTCCTCCTTCTTGTTCTTGCTTTTTGAAATCTCGGTTTTGAAGACAATGTTTCTTTTGACACTTTGGTCTTCCTCATCATTTAGTCTTCCAAGTTCAAGTTCATGCTCTCTCAACTTTTCAAAGAGAGCCGCAATTGACATAGTAGCAAGATTTTGTGATTCCGTAATGATAGTCACCTTTGGTTGTCATTTCCTGTCTAAAGATTTCAAAATTTTGACATTTAATTCGTCAGTATCCAAAATCTTACCAAGCCTAGTGAGATGGTTGACAATATGAGTGAAATGCTTTTGGACGTCAAAGATTGTTCCTCCTTGTTGCATTCTGAACATCTCATATTCTTGAATTAAGGAATTTTTCCTTGCTCTTTTAACATCATCGGTACCTTCATGAGTTACTCTTAACATTTCCCACATTTCTTGACCACTCTTGCAAACTAAAATTCTATAAAATTGATCAAGAGTTAAAGCAGATGAAATAATATTTCTAGCCCTAATATCATATTGAGCTTTTCTGTTTTCTTCTGTAGTCCATCTATAAAATGGTTTAGGTACCTCTACTTCATTTTCAGTTATTATTGGAATAAACGAACCATTTACAACAACATCCCAAACACCCCTGTCAACAGACTCTAAAAATATTTGCATTCTAACTTTCCAAATGGGATAATTTTGTCCTGCAAAAAGTGGGGCTCTGTTGATAGAAGCACCCTCGGCAAAAGTTTGATTTTGTCTAGCCATTTTTGAAATTTTGAATAACTATCAAAGCGCTCTGATACCACTTGTTAGAATCACACAGCGGAATATTCGTGGTTGCGGACAAAACCAAGAGAGGTGTGAATTGGTTTAGTTATAAAATTAGGGTTTTTAAAATTTTTCTCAAATTTCACCGTTTAAAATGCTAGTAAAGTAAAGAGATAAGGGAAAGAAGATTACACAGATAATTTTATACTGGTTTGGATCAAAAGACCCTACGTCCAGTTGTCAATCACTCTAAAAGAGGATTAACGCAGTCACTATAATCACAGTTACAACAGATTACAAATTGTACAAAGATAAGGATTAGAAAACACCTCTCTTGAGTCACACAAGAGATGAACACCTCCTTTGAAACTACAAAGGATGACAACAACTTTTCCTAGAGACGACACAACACATAATCCACCAAGAAACCCACTCAGTGATTCTTATCGCTTCTAGCCCACACTAGGTTTTCAAAGACCCATTTTTCTTCCCTACACAAAGTTCTCTAGCAATCACAACTCTTAACTTTTGTATGAAAAAGGTTATTTGTTCAGAGAGTCTTAGAGAACCTTAAGTAGAGAGATTTAGGGTATGGGGAATAAAAGTTTTCGAAAATAGGAGTATTGGAAACAGGTGCATCGAAAATAGGTCCAAATTCGAATTTCAAAAATCATAACAGACGTAGATAATCGATTATCTTGAGTGATAATCGATTATCACAAAACCATTTTCGCAGAGGAGTAAACTAGATCAGGATAATCGATTATACTCTGAGATAATTGATTATTCCAGCTAGGATAATCAATTATCAAGCTAGATAATCGATTATTCCAGCAAACTTTTCAAAAAATAGGTTTTAAGTGATAATCGATTATCAGAGTGATTTTGATAAAAATGAACTTTCAGAGGAAGAACTATGTGTTGGTTATCTTGAACTCTAATTTTACATACTCAAAAAGGTAAAACAGAGTTATTACAAGTAAATACAAATAATTATAAGTCTTCAAGACTTCAAGTCCTTTGTTCTTGAATCATTATCAAAATCTTTAAACATCATATCCTTGTATGTTCAACATGCAAGGATATATAAATACATAAATATATTTATATTTATATATTTACACGGATATACATTTATTTTTGTATATAAATATAATATAATTTTTCTTAATCACAATTCTCTTAGTTGAAATAAAAATTTAATTTTTCTTCTACTTGATAGTTACAAAAATTAAGAAAGAAAAAAGCATTCTACATAGCTTTGATTATTTACACCATTAACTAGACCGTCATTAAGTGATGAGTTCTAATGATTACCATGTTAGCGATAATTTAATACCACTGATAAGTATTTTCTTTTAATTTTGGTCTCCAATTATTGTGTAGATTAGCTTTTGATCCTCAATCAAATTTCTCAACTTAGACCCTATAACATTTTTTTTTTCAATTTTAAAGAAAAACTATTCAATGTGTAATCATAATGTCATTTTGGTTTAGTATTATAATATTAAAAGTGAGTTGTTTGTTAAAATTGTATAAAATTGGGTCGTGAAAGTTTTTTTTTTTTTTTTTTACAGCAGTCTTTCATGCATGCATTATTACAGGTTTGTTCTACACGTTTTTTCTTTCGACCTTTTACAAAACCCTAAAACCTGCTATAACCACTTTCTCTCTCTCTACACTGTTTCCAAGAAATACGATGGACAATAACGCCGACCACCGCGAAGGGGATGAGGGTCACGCCAGCGATGAGGAGGACACCGGCGCTCCTGTCTCTCCCATAATCAGACTGAAAGAGGTCGCCGTATGCACCGGCGAAGAGGACGAAAAACCTCTCCTCGATCTGTAAGTGTCTTACTATGGTTCTCTATTGTGACTTCGTTGATCGAAACTGACACGACACCGTTCTGGCTTGCTTCGTTTGCAGCAAAGCGAAACTGTATCGTTTCGACAAGGACGGTAACAAGTGGAAGGAACGAGGCGCTGGAAGCGTGAAGTTGTTAAATAAAGCACGATGTGACGGGAAAAGTTCGCCTTCTCATGAGGCAATCCAAAACTCGCAAAATCTGCGCTAATCATCTCAGTGAGTCTTGTTTTTCTTGGTTATTCTTTATATATATATATATATATATATATATATATATATATATATATATATATATATATATATATATATATATATATATTATTGTGTGATAATTTTTATTTTTGGATTTTGCAGTTGGGCGTGGGATGAGGGTGCAAGAGCACGCCGGGAACGAGAAGTCGTGCGTTTGGAAGGCGTTGGACTTCTCCGAAGGTGGATTGAAGGAAGAGCTTTTTTGCATTCGGTTTGTGTCAATTGAAAGTAAGCGCATTATAATATCAATATGTCTTCTTGTATCAAAGAAAAAAAGGTTGTTATTGTCCTATCGTTTGTCTCTGTTTAGAAAAACTTCTCCGGAATATTCTTTTTTCTAACAGTGGAGAGAAAGTGTGAGGCTGGAATACGAAAGAAAAAAATTGAATTTTTTTTAATAGAAAATTGAAGGAAATAATGTACGATACGTCGTATGGCTTCATTTCTTAAAGAAACATATTATTGTGTGATTTATATACTTAAAAAAATAATTATATGAAAGAAAAAAATATATGATACTGAATTAGTAAAAAAAAACACTTAAAAATATATTTTAAAAGAATTAATTCTAAAGAAAATGTAGACACACAACCTGTGTATCCACTGCTTATAATTTATTTGAAAAATGCAAGATAATTTAACAAGAATTTTTTCCCTTTAGAGGTTTAATAAATTTTAAACTGCAAGGTGAGAGTATATTGCTAATACTTCTCGTGATGAGAGATAGTTTTTGTTTGGTTGAACTTTTAATTTTCCGGATTGGTGTGTATGGAACAGTGGAAAGGAAGTGACGAAGGAGGGACAAATTTGAATTGAATTGGAAATTAGAAATAATATAGTATACTTGTTGCCAATGTTCATGTGCTTCATTTTCTTACATTGTTTTTGCTTACTTTATCGATGGCTATGGTTGGGAGGAGTATGTTGAGGATTGGTTCGAGTGTTTGGTTAGACGTGGCATCACTTTGGACCATTATTGCGTTAACTTGCTTTGTATAATTATGGACATTGAATTTCATTAATTTGACGATTAGATTGAAAGTTCCTCTGAAGAAGATCATTTTTTGGACACTGTTAAATTTATTGTTGTAATTGCTTGCTGAGGAGCATATTTTCATAGTGTGATTTACTATTGGTTGGTATTTCTGTTAGATTGCACAATGTTCTTGGATTCATTCCAAGAGATTGTTCAATCCCAGAGCAATGAGGATAACCAGAAACAAGAGGGAAACTTGAACAATGAGGAAAACCAGAATAATGGGAAGAACCATGAGAATGAGAAATACCAGAACAATATAGACAACCATGAGAATGAGGAAAACCAAAACAATGGGGAGAACCAGAACCATGAGGAATTCCAGAACAATGGGGAGAACCAGATCAGTGAGAAAAACCAGAATAATGGGGAGAACCATGAGCATGAGAAAAAGCAGAACCATGAGAATGAGGAAAACCAGAACAATGGGGAGAACCAGAACCATAAGGAAAACCAGAACAATGGGGAGAACCAGGACAATGAGAACAAAATGCATCTGCTGCTGCAAGTCTCCTTGAAAATTTGAGTGTTGAAGAGCCTGCTACTTCCACTTAATCATAATTTATTCATATTTTCTTTCTGGGCAACGTTGCAAGATTTGGTAGTTGATTGTGGCACCCTCTCTCGCACTAGTTATCTTCAGATGGTGCCATAGCAATGCTATTGAGCAGAATTTCAGTTAGGGTTGAATCATTTAGGTTGGGGATTTCAGGCTCTGGGAGCTTTACCAGTGTTTACATTCTTTTTATTTGAAATTGTTAACCTGTCAAAATTACGTGGTGTATAATACACTTTTAGACACTGTTCTGTTTTCATTTTATGAAACTCGATTAAAATGTGTTTTGGCTTCTTTAACGTCACATCAAATTAATTTTTTACCAATTTTTTTTATGAATATATGAAGTGAGAATCTTTATTTTTTATATTCTTAAAAAGGTTATAAAAAAAAATTTGTAGTCCTATGTTATTTTCGGAAAATTGTATTCTCTTGTTTGCATGATTTTTATCCTCATGTTAAGCGATGGAAAATTAAATTCTAAGAAAAAAAATACTTTTATTTTATTTTTACTTTTCCGTTTAATTATTTTAAGTTCTAAATAAAAAACTTAACTAAACATATTTTTAAACATGTCTAAAGCTAACATTTCAATTATAATAATTCAGGAATGTGATTTCTTCTATAATAACGTCATCACATTTTTAAAAAATGATTTTGATCCAGATATTTTTTTAAAATTTAGTGAATTTGATATTGGGTAGATCAACTTGAATATGGTCTGTGATGAAATTTAACACATTTATACAAATAATAAAAAAAGACTAAAATGATTATTTTTAATATATAGGGCTAAATCCAATTTTAATAAAAACTTGGAGGGATTAAAGCAAATTTCATCCGATAGCTATGAGCGTTCAAGATACATTGTATTGTTAGGTGAATTATTTAGGGAAGATGATGTTTTTTATTTTTCATTTCTAAAAGGAACTTCCAATTTGAGTCTTTTAAGTGATGTCGATGACTTTGGTTCATACATCTTGATATTAGTTATATGTAATTTTTTTAAAATAATTTTAATCATGCATGCATTACTTTGAAGACACCAAGCTCAAATCCAGAGTGCTAGTTGTATTTTTATATTAATTGTATGATTTAATAAATATTAATTATTATTGAATTTACATCAAAATAATTATACACGTTGAAACCGATTGTATTAATTATTTTGTAATATGTCGTAACAAATAATGGTAATTTTTTTCTCAAAGAGTGGTAATAAGGTGACACCTTCCAAAACAAACATCTCCCCCTACAAACTATTTTTATTAATATAATAATAGGAAAATAATTTGATAAAAATAAAAATAATTTAAAATTATTATTATAATATTATAATCAGATGTATATTGTATGTTTGGTGGAATCCCTACGTAGTTTTTTCCTTTCTCAAACTATTAGTTATTTTGAGTTGATAAGTGAAAATATGACATATTTACTTTAAACTTGGTAATAATATATTTTTCACTTTTCATGTTATCATTTATCATTGTTATTAAATAATGATTTATTTTATTCAATGTTTATGATATTTATGAAATTGCAATTCAATAAAAGGTGTTGATGTAAAAGAATGTAGATTTAGAAAAAGAAAATTGCTACCAAAACAATTCTGAGGCATTGAATGGAGGTCTTTTATTGTCTAATGAAAGGTTGTTAGACATCATTCTAGAAATAAAAAACTTTGTACACTTTAGGAATGCAACAGATAAATAGAAAGAGTAGGAATCGCGTAGGAATCGCAATAGGGCTGGAGCGGATTTTGCCTCCCCGATCTCTACCCCGACTTTTTTAATCATCTCTCGTCCTTGTCCCCGATCTCGTTGGGATTAGAAATTAAGTCTACATCCCCGTCCCACTGGGTTTTGGGTCCCGTCCCCGCCCCTTCCCCGATCTATATTATTTTTAAAAAGATAATTACATTTATAATAAATTAATTTTACTATCTATTTTTTATATATAAATAAATATTTATAATTTTATAATTTATAATAATTATTAATTAAATATACATTTTAATTTATTATATTTATATTAAAATATGTATGTAAAAGAAATATTTAATCATTTTTTATTTATAACATTATTATTATTATTATTATAATACTGTATTTAAATATTTAAATACTTATAACATTATCATTATTATTATTATAATACTGTATTTAAACATTTGATTATATATATATATATATATATATATATATATATATATAAGTTAATTCATTTTTAAGTTGTCATTTAAAAATATGAAATATATAGTTTATAATGAAATATTTAATAAGTAATTATTATTCAATTAGTTCAAAGTAATAAAAGTTTAAATTATCAATTCCTTTAATCTTTTAAAATACAATTATTTTATTAAGATAAAATTTGATACATGATAAATAAGAATAATAAGATAAACAAATGACATAATAAAACCTAATAAATATAAATTATAAATAAAATAATATTAGTTACTATTAATATTTATGTAAAATATTTAGAAAAAGATAAAGAATAAAAAAATTAACTGTGTTCATCAAATTGATTGAAAAGATTGAAAAAAAAAGAAATTAATGAGAAAGATTAAGGAAATATGAAAAGTTGCAAGGTATAAGAGAGAATAATGTAATAAATTAATTGATATAAAAGATTAAAAAAGACAAAAAAATTAAAAAATAGACAGAAGAAAAATAAAAATTGGTAAAATATAAAAAAATGACCTTATATGTAATAGAAAAAGAAAAGAAAATACTTTTAAAATATTAATATTTTAAAATTTAAATTTAAATATAAAGTCGGGGCGGGGACGGGGCCGGGATAGGGATTGCATTATCCATCCCCGCCCCGCCTCGACTTTTAAAGCGGGAAAACCCAAACCCGCCCCTAGTCAATCTCGGGTTTTCCCGTCAAACTCGGGCGTGGTGCGAGTCGGTCCCCACGGGGACGGGTGTAATTATCATCCCTAAGAAAGAGTATATATTTCTTTTTTAGTAATTATGTTCTTATAACAAGTGTAATTAATGTAAATCGATATTATTTGTTTGTTTTAAGATCTTGATTAATATGTATGTTTATATTTATCATAAAAACATACATTCTATGAAGATTCAAAATTAAATTAATAAAATGATTAATATGAAATTTATGCATGTGATAATTTTAATTTTATAAAAAAAATATATTCACAAATATTTGTTGATATTGTTTGTTTTATTTTTTTCTTGTAAAATCTTCACGATTAATTCGTTTTACAATAATGACACAAAGACTCGTTATATTTTTAATCCAGTTATTCAGATGTTTTAATGATGATTATGTTAATTTACATTGATAATGAGTTTCATGATGGTAATGTACTTATATTAAAATCATCATGCAAGAAAAATTGTAATGAAAGATGTTTAATTAAGTCTGTGGAAGAAGATAGACTTTGACATTCAAATCGATGGCGGATCTTCTTGGAAGTGAGGGCGTGGCCCTCTAAGTTTTGTAACTCCCATGTAATTTATGATTTTGATCCCCCAAACTTAATTAACATTTAATATATTTACTTGTATATTTACAATTTTATCCTCTCAACCCCTCCTCAGCTTTTATAACTCTTATATAATTTATAATTTTGTCTCTCTCTAACTTAATGATCATTTAATATATTTAAGTATATATTTACAATTTTATCCTTTTATCTTCTTTCTTTCTTTTATATTTATTAATAATATATTATTTGACCCTCCCAAGATCAATGGTCAAGATCCGTCACTGATTCAAATAATGGATAGATCAAATGGTAACACACTTTTCAACCAACACTTATCTCGTAAACCATCGCAAGAGTAGGACTTCATTATACTTATGATGAAGGGTGCCCATTCGAAAAATTTTGATGAGTAATGAGATTCCATATGACTCATTTGTCTCATTAATGAGCCATGCAAACTAACTTATTACAACATGTATTAAGATATAGTTAAATGAAGTAAAAATTGCATATGAACTGACCATATAAGCGACTAAATTGGACAGTCCAAAGCTAACATTTGTCCAAGCAGCATGAATTTGCCTATTGATTAACAAATTAAAAAGGAATTGGAAAAAAAAAAAATTAACCATAAAATACTTGGATGATCTTTTGAAACCACACACCCTGTGTGCTCTGCAATGCATGTCAAAAGCTGGTATGCTATAAGCTCAAAATGTTTTATTCCAAGAATGAAAGCCTTGGTTTTAGAACATTTTGTGTTATGCAAGGTTCTATCAATCAAGCTTTCCCCATGAATAATCTTATGCTTTCAAGGTTATTGCTTCATCATTATCTCTCAAACTTGAACCACTTCCAGTTAGCATAAAGTGCTTCATTTTCAAAAGGCAGGACATTGTTTTGGAGGCTTTCTAGTTGTTGAGAGATAAAAGCAGGAGGTAGCTTTTCCCTATATTTCCTTGCCATCATATCAGCCTCCAGAAATACTCTCTTTTTACACCAAAGAAACAAGCATATCTCAAGATCAATCTTACTCAAACCAAAGAACTTAATAAATAAATAAAAGTAGTATGTGCACTAACAATGTAAAAGGTTTCTATGATATTATCCAAATAAAAAATAATGTCTGGCAGGTTTATTGACTTTTATGATAATTATCTTAAAAGCTACGAAGCCCAGATACTTAGTACAATACAACATGGATACATGGACACGATAAATTTTTGAAATTTGGAATACACGTTAACAAAAATTGATGAAATATCTTATGTAGATGCAGAACTAAGATTTGTTCTTTCTCATAAATCCATAACTACAAAAAAGATATTCGTAACCAAAAAAAATTTAGTTTCTACTTGTATCTTAACTACAACTACAACTACCTTCAGATATTCCTTTAGATTTAAATACCTCTGTACAACAATATTATGTTGTTTTTGACATTCCTAAGGGGTTGCCACCACAGATAACACAATCATTCCATTGATTCCCGGTGCTCCACCGATGAAGGTTTGCCCATATTATTATTACCCATTTCACCACAACTGTTATAGAGCAACTGGTTCAAGACATGTTCCGGCTTAATTCAACTCAACACTAGTCCTTTTTCAGCTCCTGTCTTCTTGGTTAAGAAAAAGGATGAGACTTGATCCTTTTTTATACTTTCTATTGCACCCTCAACGTGATCACAGTTAAGGATGCTTTTTCGATTCCCATGGTGAATGAACTATAAGATGAGCTTTATAGTTCTCGTTAATCTTCCAAATTGGACCTCTACTTCGGTTATCACCAGATTCTTCTCAATACTACTTACTGTCACGGAGGATTATATGAGTGATTGATTATGTCATTTGGTCTTACCAATGCCTAAGCTACTTTTCAAGTTCTCATGAATTTTGTATTTCAGCTTTATGTAAATTTGTTTTGGTATTTTTTTTATAATATACTAATTTACAGCAATGATTGGCCTCTACATCGGGATCACCTTTTTTTAGTTTTAGCTAAGCTATAAAAACATTCATGCCAAACTTTTCAAGCGCTCCTTTAGTTAGAACCGAATTGATTATTTAAGGCATATTGTCTCTAATGCAGGTGTTGAAATGGATAGCAATAAGGTTTTAAGCTATTTTATATTGACCAATACCTACTACTATCACTCAATTAAGTAGGTTTCTCGGCTTTATAGGGTACTACTGACAATTTGTGCGTCATTATGCGTCTATGTTGCTCCTTTAACATTACTTTTACAAAAGGATGTGTTTCATGGGATTGCTGCAACAACTAAAACTTTTATTGACTTAAAAATTGTCATTACTAAGGCCTCGATCCTTGCTTTTCCAGATTTCACAAAACCTTTCTGTGTGGAAATAACACTTCAGGTATGGGATCAATGCAGTTCTTAGTCAGTCAGGCCATCCGATTGCCTTCCTTTCTAAGAAGTTATCTCCTAGAATGCAAACTCAATCTACATATGCTCGCGAGCTATATGCTATCACAAAGGTTGTGGCTAATTGCTACTACTTATTAGGCCACTCCATCATTCATACAGATCAGCAAAACCTCAAGCACCTTACAAACCAGGTTGTGCAGACCCCGGAATAGCAGGCATAGTTACCAAAACTATTGGGTTACTTTACACAATTGAATATCGCACAAGAAAGACTAATCTTGTGGCAGATGTCCTTTCTTGCTCTTTCAATGCCTCAATCTTCTTTTTTTGATGATATTGCTTATGTTAAGGTTCCAACATAAAATCAATTGGCAATATGTGGAGTAGTCTAACATGTATTTAAACCATACCAAATGACATGAGGTAGACGATGTGGGACTTTCAACACACCCCCTCCAACGAAGCCTGTCGGACCAGGCAAAGGGTACTTTTGACCCAACTAAAGGGCAACTTTTGGCCCATGACAATAACCGGAGAGATGTTAGGCTTTGGCTCTAATACCATGTTAAGATTCCAACATAAAACCAATTGGCAATATATGGAGTAACCTAACATTTATTTAAACCATACCAAATGACATGAGGTAGGCGATGTGGGACTTTCAACAGCTTACAAGCTTATCTTACCACCTGATGTCCACATTCATCCTATTTTTCATGTTTCCCTCTTAAAACAATGCATTGGCTCTCCCTTGACTCAGTATGTTCCTCTTCCCTTGCTGAATTCTGACAGCCACCCAATTATTACTCCTCTTGCAGTTTTGGAGGTCCGTAAGGTAAAACTTCACAACTCCTGTGAAGTCCAAGTCCTTATATAGTGGGCTGGTTCCAATCACAACACTTGGGAATCTTTGTCCCATATCTAGAATGTTTATCCTACATTTGACCTTGAGAATAAGGTCACTCTTGATGGGGAGGTAATATCATATACAATTCAGAAATTGCGACACAACATGGGCAGATGTCATTAGATCGAGATGATAAGGAAAGTGAGGTAAAAATTGCAAGGAGTAACAGAATTAGAAGAAAATAAGTTGAGAGTAAATGAGGATATATATGGCAAAAGTGGATAATAGGATAGGGCAAATTTTACTTTCCTTAGTCTTATATTAAAAATTGTTTATGTACTACCAGCGCAATTACTGATTGTATTGAGCTGTCTTGATGTAATACAATCTTTTTCTGATGTCCATTACTGTCCTGATGTACTACCATCATGCAAAAAAAAAAACATAGCAGTTTTGAAGTTTTGTTCATCAAGAGAGAAGCACTACATCAATTCAAGAAGCCCAGCATCATCATCATATGGATATATCCTACACTAATGTCCCATAACTTTGTCTTTCATTTTTCAAATAATAACTTTCAACTTTTCTAGACAAAGATTGAAGGTAATGCACATAAACCAGACATTCATCCCTTTTTAGATCCATCTTGTTTCTATTCAAAGAATATATGAAGGAAGAATGACTGCTCAAAATGTTTCAAGGCAAGCTTTCTGGATACTATTTGGAAGTATCCGAGCCATATATATCCTAAAAAGAGGATTGGATACTTTTTTGAATACATATCCTCAAGCACACAAAACAAAAGTATTCGACACCAGCAAAACACAAGAAGTATCTCGTAAACAAACTAAATAAAAAAAGTATTTTGGTATCCGACACCAGCACAACACTGGTACTTCTCTATCATTGAAGTATTGGGCTTCATAGTTTAAAAATGCCATACCAATATAGTTTCAGATTAGTTGATAATATAAAAAGTTTTAGACTACTGGTACATAAAAATTAAATACTAATAAATACCTCTTTATTAGATAGAAATAGGCCTGATTCACTTTCAAGGTCTGCAATGCTGCATGCCACGAAGAGAAATACAACTTAATGTTCTTTAACACAACTTTTGTGAGAATGCAAGAGTTGAACAAAACATGTTTACCGGAAAGGAACAAGTATGATTAGTATAGTGACTTCACGAACACTCAACTCAAAGCAAAGTTAATTTATCTCAATTTGCAATAAATCATTGTTAAAGGAATGTTACCGAAAGATAAAATTTAATCCTGTTCTCTTGGTCGTATCATTATTCACTAGGTAATTGGGCTAGCTTCTTGCATTCAAACTCATGAATTATCATGATGTATCGGATAGTGTTCACATATTTGGTCCTTTTAATGGCACACAACAACAACCAAATCTTTATCCCACGTGGAGAGAGTAGTTACATAGATCACATGGCCATTGAATTCAATTTAAAGACAAAATCCTCAAAGAGCAACAGCACAACCACATCTAAACTTTGTAAAACTACATTTTTGAAAATGGATCAAACCATTTTTGCACAATTTCATAATGGATATATCTCATTCTCTAGCCCTCTTTATTTTCATTCTATTTTTACAAATAATATTGCTTAGCTTCTTCTATAATATTGTGTGATTTGGTTAATTTGCAAGAAACAATACACAATTATTGTAAGTTAGACTCTAATGACCTAAATGCAATTCTTTTCGAAACTTGCTGAAATACCAAATTAATTGGAAAACAAGCAACGACTTTAGCAGAAAAGAACAGTGGCACACATAAGAATGTGCCCTTTAGAACAAAAGGGCATCCAAAGTGGTCACATGTTCAAATTATTTCAAGCCAAGTGATCTATCTAAATTCTGAAGACATGGTAATAAAAGTTTGCATTATTTTTCATAAAAGATAAATATGTCCTTCCAACGAATTAGTAAAACAATAATAAAAAGGAAAATCTCAAAGAATGCATTTCAAAGTTAAATTTGGGTAATATGTCATCCTATATATAACAATTTAAGAAATTTTAGAATATTATCATGTACAAGTTTGTGATCAAGGAAATTGAGTTTTATCATTTGGATCAATGTCCAATTATCATTATTTTCTGATACATGATATTCTTATAATGCATCATTATTATTATTCTTATTATTTTGGTGTATAAGTTTCAAATTTATTTTGATTAGTTGCCTTATTATTCCATTTTTCTGAGCCTGGTGATGCTTAATTTTGTAAGGAGTTCATGTTTTGTAAGAGGTAAGGATAGGAATTAGAATTTTAATTAGCATAGATGGTTTCTTCTGATTCATTAATAACTCAAATAAACAGTAACAAACCAGGTGTTCTCATCAAATTCAGATATCAGTCAAAAGTCCGTAATACCTTAAAGTAATTTTATCAGGAGAGTGTGATTTCACGACTAGAACTTTAACCTTCTCATCAACAGAAAGTATGTCCCTGATGGAAGGAATTCGGGCTCGAGTGATATCTGAAACATGTAGCAATCCGCTGAAAGTACCCAAAAGATTAATTTTAAATGTCAGGTTATGCACATACAGTTTTGGTGATCCAAACAATTATAACTCATGATAAATTAAATATCTAGTTATATACATATTCAAAGATATGCAAATCTTAACCATGTTAACAAGGAGAATAGGATAACTAAATCAAGTTCTTAACAACCGCCAAGCCAGACTCTCAGATGGTGCAACTCTTTCCACAAAAAGAAAAGGGATATATATGTATGAGCAATGAGTACAAAATTTGTGATCTAAAACTATTGATGCACCTTATATTTGTTTATATTCATGTACTCACTAAGAATAGAATTTTCAATGTAAAATGCACCAATCTATTCAAATGAAGTTAAGTCATGTCTACTTCTAGGTTAAAATTTAGAAATAAGTGCAAGACTTTTCTAGATAAAATGTCAAATCAAAGCAGACAATCAAGGAAATATTTACTCCTCGAAAAAAATGCCCTGAGACCTAGCATTGAATACTATGTAATGGATACCTAGGTTCAAATCCCATTGTAACGAGTGAAATTTTATTATGAGATGGGGAGGGGAACCTTTTCTAACCCAAATTTCAATGGAAACTGGAAAAGGCGTTTATTACTTCTTTTACATGCATTCTCATTTTAAAGATCTCATCAAAGGGTTCCGGTTAAAAAGTAAGGATCTTTAGACACTCCAGTCTCAAGTAACATAATTATTGATATCAATGAATCTTAAAGATAACTTTTATGTGTATCAATGTGAAATAGTATATCTGCTTGCCAAACCTGTCTAAAGAATGTTTTTTCCTTAACGGCTAGTGCAAAAGATACTACTGGACACTAAAAAAAGCAATTAATTTTATCATTATACTGGTCAGTTACTTAAGAAGTCTTCTGCTATCCAGTGTTTTTCATTGATATGATTACAAGATTCCACCAAAAAGCTGATTATGATTAGAATTTTGCAGCACAACAGACTTCCAATCTCTGTATTATACAAGAAAATTTAAGCACACCTAGAATATAAATTGTAAAACGATAAAAAGGAAGATAGATCCAAAGCATGAGGTGATTTTTAAACCAGAGTACATGCTATGCAAGAAGGAACATATCACTTTAGAATTATAAGACAATGTTGTGTTATTGGAATTGAACAGAGACCCATGTATTATTTAGTAACATGGCAAAACCATCAATCAGGGTGAAAAAGCTATATTTTTCTTATCTTAGAACTTTCTTTAAGCATGAGATTTTAACATTTCTTCATCAACATACAAAGGTCAATTAGAATAAAAAGCATTGGGAAGAAACTGAAAGTTAAAAAATAACAGGAAGACATCAATTAAAAGATAACAAATCATAAATTTGATTTGGCGACTTATTATTTACTATGGCAAATAAACAAGTTTCCTAATACCACCAAAAGGGAATGGCAGAATTTGTTGGCATAGGAGAAATGAAAATGTTTAACACTCAATTAAATACTTGTATGACAGTGCTCTATTCGGTTCAACAGTTCTGAATACTGTTTCAGCCAAAATATACAAAAATGAGCAGGAAAAAGACTGGCAATCCTCCAAATGGCTTGATAGCAATAATTGGCCAATTTAGGGTGTGTTTGGACACTTGCAAAAATTAAATTATTTCAAAATAATATATTATTGTTAATGTGGATTATAATCAGAATAAGTTTTTGTTTGGGTAAGTTTGCCAAAAAATGATTTTAGGGTAGTTAATTTGGGTTGGATGAATAAAAAAAATCAGCTTTTATACGTGAAAATTCATATGTATGAAGATGAAAAGGAAAAAAGCTCTGGGAAAATAATCATAAGCTACATATTTTCAGATTCATGAAAACAACTTATTTTTCAAACAAAATAAATAAAATATTTTACTAAATTTTAGCTAATTCCCAACCCAAACGTTCAACTTATTTTACAAACAACTTATTTTTTCATAAAAACAACTGGAAGTGAAGGAAAAAAGTTTTCCAAACATGCTCTAAATCAAATTAGAGTTGATGCAGGTCCACATGAGTTCATCTATTTTGAAGGTAATTCACAAGTATGTTTTACCTACAAAAGCACTTGTGTTATTGTGCATAAACTATCCAATTTGGTGTCTATCTTTTCTGTTAGCCATGTATAGAAACAACTTTCATTTTCTTTTCTTTTCTTCACAAGTGGTAACAGCAAAGCAGGGAAACCAGAAACATGCAGGCATCTAAACCATACTCTAAGACAGAATTGTTCCCTTGGAAATAAGGACTGCACCTATGTGAATCTGTTGAATAATGCTATGACTTACCAAACAAAAAATAGAAGCATGTAGAGCTAACAACCACATCCAAGATATCACTCACCTTCTATTTGTTTCTCCTATCCTTATTTGTGCTCCATAAGGAAGGATCTTTTTTACAGTCCCATCAAGAAGTGTTCCTTCTCGAAGATATAGATTTTCCTGCAATGTATCAATTACACAACAGGGATTTCAAAGGACAAAAGAGAGAAAATACAATCAAAACCGCCACTGACTATTGAAACTAGGCAACAAGAAAGGAAATAGACAGATTTGCAAACTGACCCAAGCTGCCCTCTCACTAAGTATCAAACTTTTATCAGCTTCATCTACTTGAATAATTTGTACATGCATGCGACGTCCAATCTACATCATTATTATCAAATAGTTGTAAGAACTAAGAAGTACAGAAGAAAAAAATTGAATTATTAACAATTAATGGTGGGAGAAAATCTTACGTACTCAAACTGATGGGGTTTTCAGTTAAACGGAGGAAAATTGCATATAAGTAGTGAAAACTTTTAAGGTGGCGTGCCAAGCAATAAGAATTGAAAAACAAACTAAATTCATTTACCTAGATGAGGGTCATAAAGTACTATGAAAGACAACTTGAAATCATCACTTTAACTCCATAATATATCATGATATATAAAAATTTAATAGACTGGCATACATTTAAAAAATACATAATAGATAAACCAATATAAGCCTGTGAAAAAACATAAGCTCTTACTGAAGTAATTATGGAATATATCATTTTGAATAAATGTCAGAACAAAATTGTCTGAATGCTGAATATTCCTATTATTTAATAAGTAGTTATCATAATCTGTGGCTACATTCTTAAGGCATAGACATGCCTAAAGCTTAAAAAGATAATTGTTTTTCAGTTAGAACAGGGTAGCCTATAGAGGCTTCCACCAATCACACTCAAGGAGACCCAAGTTACCGAGGATTTTAATTGAGCCTAATAACACGATCCACATCAGTGAAGCTATAAATATTGTCATATGTCTATCCACCCAATAGTAGATAATCCAAAAATAAAGTATCAGAATTAAGAAGAATCTCATAAGTAAACTAGCTGTCCCAAAATAAGATTTTATTTCATATTATTTTTTGTCAGGGAGGAAAATTACAGGGCTTGAACTCACATTTTCTTTCAATTCAGTAAAGCTATTTACTCTTTTCATAAGCTCAGTTTTGGGAAGGAAAGCTCGCAAACCCTGCATATCCAATTTCAAGAAGAGATAATTATGTACTTGTATGATACATGAACATAAGTATTCAGCTTAATGGCACAGACTTCGATCCTTGTAAGCAGGCCCTTAGTATTCCACTCAGTGATTCTAACTTCTACAGGTTCACCAAGCTGCTTCATCTGCCCAAACCATTAAAAGTAGAAGATTTAAATCGCATCAACACAAGAAGAGATATTTGACTTTCAAGTTTGGCATAAGATCATTGCTTTCTAGTTTGTTATTATCACATATAACTAGTCATTTGTGATGTAACATTCACTTATCAATATATGATAATACTCTCCAACCAAGGAAGCACAGACATCTTGAAATGTTTTCCATTCCAGTGTCCGATGCACCTAGTTTACATCCTTCTACCTTTTTACTCTATTTTTTGAATTTGTGCACTAACATGGATGAGACACCATACTAGATAAATGATAGTATTGTTTTTTGTGTTCATTAACGTAAGATCTTCTTTTTCTGAAACATTGTGATACCATTTTTTTGTGCTTAATCCTAACCATCCTGTGTCATGTAATCTTTAGAGTTTGCAATTTCTTTTTGCTGTTGTCAGGTCGCATTCCTGTCTTTTGTTGTATCTGTGCTTCCTATTGTCCAACTTGGTAGTCATAAGAACCTAGCTTTGCATTTCTTTCAGAAATAACACATAAAAGTTCCAAAATCTAAAATTCTAAACATGTGTAAGGGAAAAGAAGAATAAAAGGAAGACAAAAACCTGCCTAAGCCGATGCCAAGCAATTCCGCGGAAGAGCCTTCTGCTAGAAAGCAATGGCCTACCAGCAAGTGTCCTACCCAGAACCTCAGCAAACAAAATGGTCCCAATCTCTACAACAGCTCCCCCAGGCACTGGCCTCCCATTCATTGCATCATCATTCTTCACAATCCCCATCCTCCCCTCAACCATAAAACCCTCTTTAGCCTTGTTCACATCACACAACAAGTGCTCCATCTCTTTACTATACAAGGGAAGCACCTCCTTTGTCAACATCGTACCCAGTAAATCCGACCCCACATTCACATTGAGCTTGTTCTCATTACCTGAAACCACAACACCAACTACAAAATCCCCAGGTTTGGGCTCATAGTACTCAGTATAGTTCTTATCTTCTCCACTCTCATCGCCCGCATACTCGCTTCCCTTAGAACCTTCCAGCACCCCACCATCTTCCTTCTCCTCCACCACAGAATCATCACTTCCCTTTAAAAACTTCACAGAGGGTGTCAATGCCAAAGCCTCCTCTTCAGCGGAAGCCGTCTCCCTGTGCACATCAATTTCAGAAGATGAACCATTTCTAATGGAAACCAGTGAAGGTTTGCCCAGCAACTCCAGCGTTTCAAACTCTTGGATTCTATCATCAACCACAAATTCCTCGTTCATGGAACAAAGTGGAACATGGGAAGCACCCAAAATTGCATATTTATTCGTAAAAGGGCAAAATTTAGGAGATGGGAGTTTCATGGGGCTGGCATGTGGTTTGTTCCACAAAGAGTTTCTGATATGATTAAGAGGTAATGGAGAGTTGGGAAAGAGAAGGGACTTACAAGGACAAAGAATCAATGTCATATTCGATACACAATTTGAAGTTTGGTTCAGTTCTAAGTTCTGTGGCACTTTGGTGTTTCCTCTTCAACCATTTTCTTCATTCTCTCTTCCTTCAGTTCAGAAGTTATTCCACGAATCTCTCCAACATATCTATTCCAGTTTATTGCTAAGGATAACAGTAAATATATTATCATTTCTCTAAATTCTTAAGGTAAATAATATTTTTTTTATTTCTTTAATTATTTGAAAAAATATTATAAACTACATATATTTTCAGTATTTAATTATACACACATAAATATGTGTAGACTATTAAATATTGTTTCCTGAAGAATTTTAATTGATTTAATTTCATTGATAACGATAATTTTAAATTGGTAGACTAAAGAGAGTTTAGCTTAATTTTCAAAATTAAGAAGGCACAATTACAATTATCCCTTACTAAATTACATTGAAACACTCAGTTTTTTTTTAATTTGTATATTTTTATTTTTAATAATTACAAAACTTGTAAAACATAATGTAATATTTTTCAAATAATTAAAAAATTAATATAATATATAAGAAATATCTATACATCTATATGGAATTCATTTTTTGTAAAACGTATTTAGTGTCATTATTTAAAGAATTATTTTTTTATCAAATAAAATTAATTTAATTATTTAATAAATCACAAATTAATAATCATATTTTTTATTAAAAAAAACAACCGTTAGTTTTATCATGTAATATTTTAAAATCAAGACTAGTCATAATTTTTTATATGGTGTCAATTAATTAGATATTTATTTAATATACGAGCTAATATTTATTTTATATAATCAAAATATATTACAAAAAAATTATTATTTTATATAATAAATAGTATTATATATTTTAGTTATAAATATATAATTAAAATTAATATAAGTTAAAATAAGATTATATAATAAAAAATACGGACATTGTCTGAAATAATTTAAAATAAAAAGAAATGAAAACCTTTATTTAAATAATTTTAAAATTTTCATACTTGGGAGAGTTTTCTGAATCTTAAAATTGATTGAAGATTTTTGTTACTGTATCTATTTAAATTAATTAATAAAAATCAAACATTTCATTGAAGCAAATTAAAAAAAAAAAAAAAAAACATTTGCATTAAGAATGAAAATTAAAGGACAGAGTCAAGTTTTTCAATGTTGGAGAAACTCGTTTTTTTGGTTACGAGTTTTACATGACTTTCTAAATTCTTTCAATCTAAGCATCCATTTCTTGAAAATTTTAGGAGGTTTTTCATTAGAATGCATTGATATAGAATAACCCTCCAATAAATTTAAGATGCATGAAATTATGAGAGTAATCAAACTCAATTTAGCCTTTCTTTTACAAAGATAAAGGATTAAAAGTATGATTTAGCTTAATTTTATTAATGTGAATAATGAAATCACAATTTACCACTTTAAGCTGTTTATATCAATATTAGTAATAAAGATGATAAATTTATTTAATGTCTATTTTTTTATATTATATGAGGTACTAGATACACTCTTTATGTTAAAGCATCATATAAGATTAATTGAATATTAAATATAAAATAATTAAAAAAAGTGCAAGTGAAGAATAGATGTATGAAAGCATAGGCCTGCATTATCTCATCATCTCCATGTCTGAAGAATTAGATCCTGCGTGGGTTTGTAAGAGATCATGGATCCATCCTTTAAGGAATATGAACTTTCTTCCGGTGTTTTTTTTTTTTTTTCCTCACCCGTACTTTCTTTATATATCTCATTTTCATCTAAAACGACGATATTGCTTTTAATATAAATAAGTTTTGGAAAGTTTATTTTAAAAGAATTTCAAATTGACCTGTTCTGAAATTAGTTTATTCAAAATATTTTGGAGAATTGATTCGGGAACGCTTCCAAAAAAAACTTATAGAAAGATCAATCCAGAAATTTTATAGAAATTCCAAAAAATTGTTTTCGAAATATTTCTAGAAAGCTTCTAGAAGAGTTAATTCAAATTTTTTAAAATGAACTTTTTGGAAATTTTTGGATTGCATTTTTGGAAGTATTTTAGAATACTTTTTTTGGAATATTTTTGGAAAGTTAATTCTGTAACACTTTTGAAAAACGTATGGATATGTCAATTTGAAAATTTATTAGAAAACTCATTCTGAAAATTTTCTAGAAGATTTTGTTCCGCTACTTTTCTTTTTGTTCTGTCACTTGTCTCAATGTCTCATGGTTCTATCACATGCTAATCTTAACATTTTTTTAATGTTGGTTCTCTTGAATAAAATTAAATGTAGGTTTAAATATTAGTTTATAAAAATAAATGTAGGTTTAAATGTTAGTTTGAATATTTTAGTTGAGATATTTTAGGCAAGAATAAGAGATTATGATTTGTTAACAGCAGTTAAAATGATAGGAAAACAAAAAGTCAAAATTTATTTAAATACCTATATGTATTATTTGATATTAGTGATAAAGAAATAATAATATATAGATTATAGAAATTATTACCTATCAAATTGGTATTGAAACTAGTTTTTTAGTGTTTGAGCATGAAAGAACTGGAAAAAAGTGATGACAAATTTAACGAACAATGTGACTTTATCCCATTTGATAAAAACAATCAACTATAACAATTGGAATCTTTATATGAAAGCTATTTTTAGATCTCAAGATAATTGGGAGTTGGTCGATGATGGTGTCAGAGAACTAGCACTACGAGCATTTCAACAACCTAAAATAAAGTGTTGAAAGAGACACATGTGAAGGATAAAACAACTTTGTACATGTTAGATCAAATTATTGATGAATCTGACTTTTAAAAGATAGAAACTGATAAAAATTCAATAAGTGTGGGAGACTTTGGAGAAAGCATAAGGGTGATGCTCGAGTGAAACAAACTTAACTACAAACACATTGTGGCAAACTTGAAAGTATAAGAATGAAGGAGTTAGAAAGAGAAGATCTTGAGGTTGTTAACCAACGACTTCGAGAATGTTATGTGCATGATAGAGAAATAAAAGGACTTGTCTGAGCTCATAGTACAAGAGTTGATTAGTTCTCTTGAGACCCATGAGTATTGGAAAAAGAAGAAAGAGGAAGCAGCACTACCAGTGCTCCAAAGTAAAACATATCTTAAAGAAGAGAAAATTGTTTACTCTCAGAACACTCATGGTAAAGGACGAGGACATAGAGATCAAGACCAAGGTGGTAGAGGTCGTTGACAAAATAGTGAAAAGAAAGACTTAAATCAACAAAATTGACATGGTAGAGGATATGGTTGAAGATGAGGCCAGTGAATGACCTATAATGTTGAATGTTATAAATGTGACAAATATGGTCACTATGTAAGAGATTATAACTCTGACAAATGTTACAATTATGGATGGATGAGACATCTTGCTCAAGAATGTTAAGCTAAGAAAAAGGTGGGAGAAACAAATCTTATGGAAGAGGTAAAAGTGATAGTGTTGATGGTCAATCATAGGTCAGGAAACAATAATGGGGTCGATCACACGTCAGAAGGATGTGAAGGTATTTATTACAACTCGGTATGGTATCTGGATAGGGTGCAAGTAATCACATGTGTAAAGACAAACACTTATTTAAAGAGATAAAGAAAGTAGACACTAAATATGTGGCTTTTGGTGATGCTTTGAAGATCTTGGTAAAAAAGGCTAGGGTACGATCCATTACTTGTAAAAGGATAACCTAATCGGGGTTTATTCGATGTATATTATGTTTTGGATCTCAAAAGTAATATTTTGAACATGTGACAATTAATGGAGAGAGTTTACTTGATATTCATGAAAGATCGAGTATTACATTTGAAGAATAAGGTCAGAAAGTTGATCGCCTGAGTTGAAATGGGGAAAAATAGAATGTAAAGTTACAAATGAGAAACATTTGAGAAAGGTATATAAAACTAAATGTAAAGGACATAGTATTGACGTGACATGATCGATTTTATCACCTACATTTTGGTGGTCTAATCGAGCTATCAAAGAAGAGCATGGTGAATGAATTGTCAAGCATGGAGTGTGAAGGGAGATTTTGTGAAGAATATGTAATCGGTAAACAAGCGAAAAAGGCCAAGTATCAAGAGAAGGAACAACCCGAACTAATTCATACTAATTTGTGTAGGCCGATTACCACTAAATCATTCAATGGTAGGAGGTTTTTTATGACTTTTGTTAATGATTTCTCAAGAAAAACATGGTTTATTTTTTGAGAGAGAAATTTGAGGTGTTCAAGAAGTTCAAGGTAATAGTGGAGAAGACAACTAGGAAACATATTAGGTCAATCCAATTTGATAAAGGTAGTTTATGCTTACAATGTTCATGAAATATTTAAAGATGAAGGTATAAGGAGATTTCTAACAATTTGAACACTACTTTCAGTATAAATATCTTATAATGATTTTCCAAATACATATTGTTATTGCTAACTTTATTTAATACTATTATTCATAACTTTCTCCGTATATTTTGTATTGCATTTTTATTCCTATAGATAAAGGTTCAATGGATGAAGATGAAAATAATAAATTTTTTTACACGAAAACATCTCACAAATTATCTAGGATGTTAAAGGAAGCTAGAATTACAAGTGAAGGACCATAATGGATTGGTGCATATTTGGAATAAATTGTTAGTACGTTGAAATTCTCTTATGTATCACAACAAATATGCACAAAAGCAGAGAAATCAGACATTTGAAAAGTGTGAGAGCGTGCACACAAGTAACTCCATTAAAATACATGAACATGTCATTCATATGGTATATATATTTATAATTTATTTGTACTATATAAGTTTAAAAGTTGTATGATAAATTTAGAGTTTATTTGTATTATATAAGTTTAAAATATGTTTTAGGTGTAGGAGTTTGGACGATTTATATTTGTTGATAAAGTCTTTTAGTAAATTCATATATGAAAATGATATTGACAAATTTTGTTGATAAAAAATTTAAAAAGATACATGTAAGACCTTATTGTTAACTTTTTTTTCAAATAATTTATAA